ATTAGTGTTGGGTTAAGCATTATAGTGTAAAAAGTGTAGCGATTAATCAAGAAGTGATGCATGAAAAAATAATGCAAAAGAAAGTAATATTTCTGGAAAGAAGAAAAAATTCTAAAATCAAGATAAAGAAATCTTACAAACTAAAGCTTTATACATATTTCCACAAAAATGGTACACATTTTTTCCCTATTTTAAGTTTAAATATGAATTCTGACAAAAATTTTTTAAAAAATTTTTAACCTGTATAACATAATTTTCCAAAAATTTGAAATTTTGAAATGATTATCTCTAGAATGCACATTTCTAATGGGTGAGTGCAAAAGTTCTAACATTTTTGGATATGCAAATTTGCAATGGAATTGACGTCACACATGACATTGTAATGACGAAAATCGTCAGCCAATCAAACGTGTGGATGCCTCACATATAAATGCATCGTGTCTCACATAGTTAATCATCTCAAAAAAAAAAAAAAATCTCAGAAGATGTAACACAAAAAGCGAGAAGGAGCATATAAGACACCGTTTGTTATACGAGTTTGACAAAAAGAGTATGACAACCGCAGCATGTTGCAATGTTTGTCAAGTTTATGGGGAGGATGCAGTAGACGAAGCCACATGTCGTCGATGGTTTTGTACATTTAGGCAAGGAGACAGAAGCTGCCAAGATTAGGCTAGAAAAGGATGGCCATCACACGTTGGAAAAGAGGATATTGACCAAGCCATACAGAACAAATCGAACCTAACCATGCAAGAATTAACGGAGACATTCAATGTATACCGGACAATTGACGAGAGACGGCTGGTTAAGTTGGCTTTTACGAGAAAATTGGATTGTTGGGTTTCACATAACCTGACAGCTAAATCAAGGGCATGATCAAATCGCCACCTTTGCTTCCTTGCTTTCCCAGTACAAAAACGACCCATTCTTGACATGAATTGTGACAGGAGATGAGGAGTGAGTTATGTACTGTAACATAAAGTCCCCCCCGGGGGTCGACATAGAGAATTCTGCGAAGCAACTGGCTAGGATCTGTACCTAGGCAGTCTCGGCCACGGGCATACCTGCCAACCTCTAAAGATAAAAATTCAGAAGATTTCTCCCCCAAATTCAGAAGATTTCTCCAAAATTCAGAAGAACACGAAGAATTAATATCATGCTTCATTTAAAAATACCCAATTTATACAAATAGAAAAAGAAAATTGTACTTACTTAGTAATCTCATTAAGTAGTAAATAAAAAATTATTAGGAAACATAAAACAAGAACTAATGTTACACAAAAAAATTATTGCAATGAATTTAGAGTGATTTTGGCTCAAGCCAAAATTTTTGGAAAATTTCTGTCATAACAATTAGTTTCCTCATAACATTTAGCAATTAAATGTTTTAGAGTTTTGGTGAAATTGAAGAAGAAAACATAGTTTTGTTTTTCTTCAACACTGAAGACTTATCACACTCAGCATTACTGTGGAATTACGAGAATAGCACATAAAACTCTGCTAGTCATCATATTTTGGTGTTCCATCAGTCTTTTTACTTTTAAGGTACCAACGATGACTAAGTCTATCTTCTCAGAACTGGCAAGTCTTCAAAACTGTGCAGCAGAAAAATTGGTTCTGTTTCATCTAAAGCATCATTATGGCATTCTTTTCTTTAATTGTTAACAAAAATGGAAATTTCAATAAAAAAAAAATCTTTTCAAAAGATGAATTTTAATTGTTTCAATGCCACTCAACATTTAAAAGAACTTCATTTTGCAAAGGAAATTCCTTACAAATGTAATCACAGGCTGAAAAAGTAATTTCTACAGATGGAAAAAATCTTTTTTCTCATGATCTTTCAAAGAATTACAAGTTCCCTGTTTGATTTTCCAATTATAAGATCATTCATCCTTTTGATTTGCCAAACTATTAAGCAACCCGAATCGTTAATCTAGTATCCGGTGCACAAGAGATTTGCTACTTTGGCGATTTATGTCGCACTAAAGGTACATTACGAGTAGTTAAACGGGTATTGGTCTTTGGATAATTCGAAATGCGCCAAGGCTGCACCGTATACTAGGACAAGATCTGTTGTTAGCAGAAGCTTCGCAGCAGCAGGGTGGCTCTCTCCAAACGAAAAGGGACAAAACTGCGATGCGTGAAATATTGTCGCAAAAGTGCAAAGTCGAACTGATGTCAGTTCGAACAGTTCGCAGTCAAGTTTAAAGCTGGTTCTCATTTTTCTACCTACTGACAGATATAAAATCAACATAAAATGCGATATGGTAATACAAGTCAACTGTAAAACAAAAAAAAAAAATCAGTTTAATATTGCGAAAGTCAAAGAACGATTATCTAACCCGTATTCTCATTCCGTACACATGGCAGAGGTGGAAATCTCGCCCAGGTAATCACAAAGGGGAAATTCTCGCCAACACGTCCGTCACAAATCCTGGCGAATTGTCCTCTTCTTTCAGCAGCGTATAAGACAAACTGGTTTACCTTAGTCTATGAGCTTTCTTCTTTACATAGACTTTCTTGTAGGATTTTACCACGAATCACACACTGTTTGCACAACGGACGGTTTTACAAATAGCAGTTTCTTAGCATCGCACGTGGTTCGAGAGGAATGCAGTAACAAACCTTGCCAATGAATCGGCATCCGAATCGTAGCGAATTGAAAAAAAAATCGCCCACTTTCTGGACTTGTCGAAGAGAAGCATTAACTTCATGCTTTATACTTAACTGTTTCACAAGTCGCTTTTTCACCGCACTTGTTATGAAGTCCCACGCAACATTCAAACGATAGTATTTCTTTGAAGGATTTATTGTTGGAATTTGGCTTGTAGGCGCCGAAAATATGAAAATACGTTTTTTTTTAACTCATTTCGGCAACGACGTATTAAAAATTAGTAGCGCTGCAAAAACAAAAAAAAAAAAAAAAGAACGCAAATAAAGCTCGATGAGTAATCCTTGCTGATGAAGCGACGGCAAAAAAAATCTGGCCCCCAAAGAAAAGAATGGGAGAAACAAGTTCAGCGCTTTGGATGGCTGTTTAAGCGGCGCGTGGGGAGAACCGCAGGTTACTGATTCGAAGTGTCGTGAAAACATGATGCAATTGGTGAAAAATTCGAAAATGCGACAAAAATCACTAAAAAACACTTGAAAAAGGAAAAAATCGTAAAAATGGATTACGATCGTAAAATCGTAAAACAAACGTATTTTCGTAAATACGAAAAATTCGTAAAGTGCAGTATGGCACGGGGGATAAAATTGTGAATGGTGGTTATGAAGCCCTGGGAAGGTCACGATTGGTCGGCCTCGGAATGGCATGTCTGAGCAGTGGGAAATGTGCCGGAGGCTATTTCAATCGGTTGCTGGGACGGCCCTGCGACGGGCTCGCCCATGCACTGGGAGAGCAACTGATGCCGGTGCTGCTGTATCTTATCCAGGTGGTGGCGTGCCTTTAAGGGTTATGGAGGTTGAACCTCCACGAAGTGCCAAAGGGGAGGACCAGTAAGTGATGAGTCACGAGGCGGGGCAGCCCAAATTGTTGTTGTTGTTGTAACATAAAGTGCCGTAGGCGTGTGTGTCACCCTTCTGATCCGCCTGCATCAACTATGAAAGCCAAACTTCATCCCGAGAAGGTGTTATCAAGTATGTGGTGGGATGTGCAGAGAATAATTCACTGGGAGGGTCCTGCCACTCAACCAAACCATCACTGCTGCCTTCTACTGTCTATAGTTAGACAAGCTGCATTCAAATTTGGTAGCAAAGTGGCCAGGTCTCATCAACTGTCACAATATTATCCTTCACCATGATAACGCCAGACCACATGCTGCTATCATCACTTCCCAAATGTTCCTTGGCTTCAGTTGGGAGGTTTTACCCATCCTCCCTATTCTCCTGACTTGGCACCAACTATCACCTACTTTCTGCATTGCACAATTCCTTCAGATAGAAAATCTTTGACGACCTTGATGCAGTGAAAACTGCCATCCAAGACTTTTTTGACTCAAAACTGCCGAAATTTCACTGCCGTGGGATTCATCTCCTACCAGAAAGATGGTAAGAATAGACAACAATGGGGATTATGGCACAATAATAGGTGCTGTTCATTTGCTCTTCTTTAGGAGTAATGAAAATGGGTAGAAGTTTTGCACTTACCCAATATATATTTGCAACCATGTTCACATTTTAACACACTAAAAATTTTAAATGTACTTAGAGCACCCCTTTAAATCACTTATTTTTCGATTTCATATACACTTTGATTATACTAATCTGAGCCTTTATGCTTTAAATGTTTTTAATTTTAAGGCTTTCTTTTCTAAAAACGTTCAACAGTCAGTAAACAATTAATAATTACTAAACATTAAGCATACCAATGTCACATTTTTCAGTAATAAAGAAATTTTATAAGGTTTTGAATTATCTTTAAGGCAGCGCAATGTCACTTTTGCTATTAATGAAACAACTAAGATTTAAAACTTTAAAGATATGCAAGATTCCATCAAATTCCTACAAATGTGGTTTTTCTTATCATAAAGCAGCTGATTTTATCATATCTGTGAATTATTCTAGAACAGAATGCATGCCAACAGTAGAGAAATTTTTTTAATTTGTAATTTTTTTTTTTTTTTTTTTTTTTTTACATTGTCATTTATTTTCCTTTGAAAATACAAACTGATCAAACATCCATAACATTGTTCTTGCATGAATGTTAATGCTTGCACTTATATATTAAATTAGTGATCAAGCCTTTGTTTAATAATACGATAATGCAACTTTGTGTTTTATTAATGTACTTCTAACTAACATAAAATTTCCTAGGATAGCATCAAATGAGCAATAATAATAAAAATGATACAAAGTGCAATAATACTGGATATTTTTTCTCATACTATAATACTTTTACTGTAGAATATTAAAAATATATATATTAAGAGTTTACTTATAAGGATTTGGAGCACAACATTTCAGAACATAATAAAGTTAAGGAAACAATAACTAATGAGAATTTCAACACCTTATAATTTTAATTATTTAAGTTTCAGAATAAAAATACCCAAAAAAGTTCCAAAAAGAATTCCATGAAGTGGCAAGATCTGAAGTGCACAGAAAATATTGTTAAATGTTACAAAAAATATAATAATCATCACTTTTTCAGTTGTTACAAATCTAAATACTTCCTTAAAAATACTTCACATGTCTGTCCTCTATGAAAAGAATTACAATATTTTACACAAAAGCAATCTGTGTACAGTAAAATAGAGAAATTAATAATTTCAATAAAATTTGTGATATATGCTTGAATTAAACTTATCTAACCATAAAAACTGACGTAAGAGGTATAAGAAATGAAAACTATATTTTGACAATATGTTTTATACATAATGATTGGTGATAAATGTTCATAGGGGGGGGAATTACGTTCAAGGCTTCTGCATTGGGATAGGATTTCTTAAAACCAAAATTACTGAATCTCCTCTAAGAAACATTTTTGAAATATAACGATCTTTGCTGACAGGCTTAGCTTTCTTCTTTCCTTTACCAGTCCTTGGCATTTCCATCCACATTTCTTTCACGTTTTCAAGAACCATGTTGCAGTGCCTAAGGCATAGGAGTGGAAAAATAAAATGTTAATTATTTTATTTCCATTATTATAAAAATGAAAATATTTAACATATTTTTTAGAAACTACAGTACAAGGTACGAAATCCGGATGTCCATTATCCGGAATGATCTAAAATTCGGACCTCAAAAACACAAACTTTTTATTATTATTATTATTAATGCTTTGCGCATGCTTATTTGATTTTTCCTTCCATAATAAAACATGTGGAGATTTTCAAACAAATCAAAATGCTTCAGCTTTTTCTACCATTGCCAAAAATAAGCTGTCAAATTTGGTGTTCCTTTACCAGATTACAGTGGAGATATTCTTCAATGGTGTCTGTCAAATAAAAATGTTAATCAGTTGTGTATGCAAGATTTTGCCAAAAATTTCAAAGATGTTGAATTTGGATATGATTGCAATGTTTGTGACAGACTGTGGTTAACGAAAAGCATAACACCAGGCCAGTAAAAATTAAAAATTCTCTTTATCACAGGCTGAGTTCCCTGACGAAGATGTACAGACCTAAAAAGAGTATGGCTCTTACAAGAAATCATTGTAATAACAATAAGATACCAACATTATCGAAGAGTAATGGGTTTATATATTGAGATATGATGCAATGTTTCTAGATCCAATAAATGAGCATTTAATTTCTTCTTGACTACCATTCATTAAAATTTTTTTTATTAAGATCAGATGGCTATGCTGTTGTTCAAGTGATTAATGTTCCAGTTGATGTAAATACAATGGTACAGTACAAAGTCCAAAATCCGAACATCCATTTATCCGGAATAATCTAAAATCCGGACCTCAAAACTACCAATGTTTTTCTCCTAGACTTTACACATGCGCATTTGATTCCTCCCTCTGCACATAATAAAACATCCGGACAGTACCAATTCTTAATTTCACTTCGACACTAAATAAAAAACCTAAATAAAAACAAATATTCTAGCATAAATCTGTACGATCAGTAATTTGGTTCCGTTGCTGTATACCTGCTTTTTGGTACACATCTCAAACCGAAACATTCCACATAGATACATCGTTGATCTGACGCTAACCTGGCGAATCATTATTTATTATACTTTCCTTTCATCACCGTATGTTTATCAAAACATGACAACTTGAGTAATGACTCGTGTAGCGATGCCTAAAAAAATTTTTTTACATTAGTAATTGGATAATAAAGGAGTATGGTAACCTTTCATGTTGACATTATGCTTGCCGATGATTGCAGATTTAAGTTAAATTCGCTAAAAAATGTTGACGAGGAACTCTAATAAGCCTTAAGCATATGCAAGAAATAGACATAATAAATAACTAAATAGCTAAATTAATACAATTCAGGTTTAATTCTTTCAGTGCGTGACAGAAGCAAGATAAAATTTAATAGAACAACTTGTCAGTAGTCGCCAAGCTCATGATGCATAGCCAAATACGTATAGTGAAGGATTGATATCGATAGCCACTAATTTTAAAGGTTTTTGAATATCGCAAAACAAAAGTGAAATTTTCCAATTAACAGATTTTGTAAAGAAATGTGAAGAAGCGGTAACACACGAAGATGATATAATTTTTAATTAACGGATTTTGTAAAGAAATTTGGAGAAGTGGTAACAAACGAAGATGATATAAAAGAAGTTTTTCATTGTGAATGACAATGCTTCTCAATCATCAATCAATAAATGACAAAATCTGTAGTATGGATCTAGATCCAGAAAATACTGCTAGCGATAGTGAAGACAATGACAGAGAAGTTACTGAAAACGAGAAAATTTAAATTGACAAGTTAGTCGGAATTCTCGAAACAGCACAGTGACAGGACTTCAACAATGTAACTAAACAAGAGATCAGGTGTCTACAGAATTAAAGAGAAAGTATTAGCACAATAAACAGAGCAACTTAAACAAATTACATTGAAAGAAATGTTTAATAAGGTAAACAAATAAATATTAAGCCTTTTTTTTTTTTTTTTTTTTTTTTGTAAATTTTGATACCCTTTAGATCAAAAATACTTCACTATTTCATAAATCACGATTTCATATTTTTAATTTTATAATTTCTACATGCTATCTCACTAGATTTAAACTGATGATCTAATATCCAGAAAAATCTCAAATCCGGAATCGCCGAAGTCCCCACGAGTCCAGATTTCGGACTTTGAACTGTACAATGTTTGCCAGGAAACTTGGATGATGATCAGGTATTCATGTGAACATCAAGAAACATTTTCATACACAAGTCAATATATTTGTGTTCGAAGAAACACGTTATTAAAGCATGGTCAAAGAGAGTATTTTAAAAATTAGTCTGAAATAGTTTAAAATAAGTACTGATTGGGCAATAGTTATACTTGCTCAAATGACGATACAGAAAATTATGTCTTTGAACATACAGATGAAAATGTGCTGGAATCAGAAGTGCTTGATAACAGGTAGGAATGAACAGCATTGTGTTGATGCTTCACAGAGGTAAAAATTGCAAACTAATTAATTTGAAATATGCACATGCAGAATTATCCCTTCCAACAAGATATTATAGTGTGGCAGACATTTAGATGGCCTCCTCTGTCATTATTGCTACAAGTGAATACAAAGGGGTTGTGGACCCAAAAAATGCTGAAACTTTCGGAATTACTACCGACATTGGAGTTTAGAGAAGGAGGGGGAGAGAGAAAATAAAATTACAATATGAAGTTGAGAAACCAATTAGAAAATTAATGAATTACTTTTTGCAAATTATAACCATAAAGTTTAAACATATAAATACTAAATTTATGTAATATTTAAATACCTGAATTAATTCTTTAAAAAAAATATTAATTCTGCGCTTTTTTTTTTTTCTGATGTTGTGGGATGTCTTCTTTTGTGGTGAACTTCATAATTGCAGAGTGATTTTATTTTCTTATTTACGTTGAAGAAATTCTCGAGGCTGCAATGCAGGGGTAGAGCAGTTTTGGTTATACTTTGCTAGGTCGATGGAATTGGATTGTGACTCAACTTTAATAATCATTAAAGATGGCACTCATATTTCTGGCTTATAAAAAAGAAAATTTGCCACAATTATAAATACTGATGTATTAAGAAGCATTGTTTTTTTTTGTGAACTATTAATATATGTGTGAACTTTGGTAATAACTGCTGAATATCCTGCCAGATGCAATAAGTTGTTTTACATAACAAATAAAACCATTTGTATCTTTTTTACGAGCTAAAGCATCATTGTGAGTTGTGGAAATGCAAGCAAGAATATACCCTCACAATTTTTTCTAGCTGCAGAATATTTCTTTTTGTATCAGTTCAATAAGAAAATAAATCCTTTCAGTTTTATTAAGTAGTGAAATAAATGCAATAAGAGCATCCAACAGATTTGATTCTTTCTAAAACACCTAAATGTACACCCATATGGTATGGTCTCTCAAGGCTTACGGTTTTAATGGCCAAGGGTGCCGATTTGAAAATTTTTCTTTACTGCAGCTTTTCATATCAAATAGATGTTCAAACAAATCTTTAAGTATATCAAAACATGAAGCAATTTTTGCACAGTCTTAGCCGTGGAATGGTCACCATCACATTAATAGTGGGTGCTGTTGATTGTAGTCTGGTTCAACACCTTTTTTTTCATGCATGGTATACTGAGTCCTAATACCTAATTAGTTGCCCATGGATATTTATTTCAATAGTATTAACAATGCTTAAAAAAGCTTCTGAATTGAAAGATCATCTTTAGATGCCTGATGAACACAACTTCATTTTGATGTTGTATAAAACTGCACCAAGATTGCCAGTCTACTTTCTTGAGCATGTAGTACTTATCCAAATTAGAGAGAAATGGAGTCTCCTTAAAGTTTAATGATTTTTTCCTAATAGTTTTTGCGAGCCCATATTCATCTTATAAATGCAGTAGTCTGGACATTCCAACGAGTTTAGTGCCGTCTATCGCGGCTCAACTGTTGTTAAAATTGAGAGCTACATTGAAAGAAAATACGGCGATAAACGAAGATTAATACCCTTGGCGTGCTTTCTTGTCCTAATATCCATGCCGAGCATCAGTCCTCAGTAAGTATCAGTTTTTTTGAAGTACTAATACTTAAAGTCCTTCAATGTCTAATGCACTTTGAATATTTTATGTGCGTCAACTTTTGAGATGTGAAGCCTTGAATCCTTCCAATCAACTTGCAGTGAGGACAAAAAAACAATATGCTGTCTAGCAAATTTATTTTTTGCACCTGCGCCTGGTATCCCTTACCATCTCCCGTTCAATCCAATTCCACCTAAATGCTTCCCGAACACCTTCTTTAATTGTATAATATCACTATTTACCGAGAAATTTCATAGTGAAATTTCTTGCGTACATAAATAAAAAAAATATTTTAATAAACAAAACGAAAATTACACATGCATCAATAAATGAAACGAAAATTTTAACACGGAGAAAAAAAAGTGAGAAGCGATCAATGACAAATAGCTAATATGGCGAAAAATCCCCCTCCTACCTTATTGGCGCCATGCCAGGAGAGATAAGACCTTTGAACCCAGAGTCACGTGATCGCACATCTGGTAAACGAAGTCCTCTCCTTTTTTTCTGCCGCGCCTACTTGCGAAAAGAATCCAGAAGAGAATGTCCGAGAATCGGGGGAATGAGTCTAACTTGCAATAAGGAAAGAACAAAAAAGAAGTTTTTTTCCCCCTTTTCAAGCATTATCACTGCCTTTGGAGAAAGAAAGGGAAAGTGTTTACTACACACACTGACCTTGCGTTTTCTGCTTTCAAAGCAAACAAAATTACCCAGATCAAAATAAATAATCATTATTATTCCTACTTCCTTTTGAACGATGATCCCCGGAATTTCCGGGTATCAAAGTTCAAAATCCCTGGAGCACAAACACCCCTGAATACAGTGAAGTGATCATAGAGGAGCTACTCCACAGTACATTCATTGTATGACCATGAAGATCTTGTGACTGAGAGTAGTTGATGTTATAAGTAAT